CCCAGGTATTCAAAAGTTGGTCCCACGGTATGACAAATGTCTCGATTCCGGTGGCGAATATGTTGAAAAATAGCTGGACACTTGCTGTATCTGTTGCAATAAATATTTCCATGAAATTGTGTTTTGTTTCTGTAAACGGCCCCAGGGAAACTTACTTTAAGGACGAGCCTCGTATATGATGTTTAGCTTTCTGATAGTTTTATAGATGTAGAATTTTTCTAAAATGTCAAGCATTTTGCCTTTTGAGGGTATTCTTAATACATCCATGATATCTTCAACGATTTTCTTCCGTTAGTGTATCATCCTTTTTATTCTAATGCCTTTCTGCTGATTACATATAAGAAGAGCTGTCTTTCATGAATGCTGATCATAAAGTATGTGGCAGAACCATCTGTTGCTTGGCCTTTATCTTTGATCCATTATGGTTATAATGGTTTCTGATAGGAAATTAAAATTGTAATGTACTATTTTCTCAGGGCATTGCTCATTGTCTAGTTAAAACAAGTGTATGATATTTTGGAGGCAAGTACTTTCTATGTAGTCAGATAAAGGAAGGGCTACCTACTGTGTTTGTTCGTTCCAGAAAGTATTAACCCTGAAGCTAATATATATATATATATATTTTTTTTTTGAATTGGTTGTTTAGCTTCAAGTGATGATGATTCCTCAGTTAGGGAGATGAGACATTTGGTTGCTAAAGTGGAAGAGATGAGGCAGCAGCGAGCAATGTTGTCCACGCAGTTGAGGGAGTCTATCTTCCAGGATGACATTACTCGTCAACTTGTGACGCGAACTGGAGAGTCGCTTGACGCAATATTCAGCCAAGAGTTGCAGAAACACCAGAGATGTGTTAGTATGCAAACTAAGTTATCTTTTATCCATTTGAATTCTAATTGTTTTGTGTTTACCTTATAGTCATCATTTACATTTTCAGAGTATTTTGCTTAGTTTTGCTGTTATGGGTTGTAATAAAATAGAATAATTTTGTTTCCCAGAAGTCTTTATCTTTATTGAGAGTAAAGTCTTATTAATTTTTTATAAGAGGGGCAGGAGCTATCTGAATGCAATGTTTCAGTTTTTTCTCTTCAATTTCTTTACTGATATTGTATGGAACTTGTTATTGATGAAATCTGTAGTTAATTTCTTTATTTCTTTTATGGTATAGAATGGGTATTTTGCTGTCCCAAGAAATGCATCTGTAGTTGTATGTTGTAGATAAGCCATTGAATTTATGATTACTTTTGCTTGTTGCAGAAATGAAAAAATTGCATTATTCTTAAGAAATAAGAAATGAACATTTGGTCGGAGTATTTGATCAGATTTATAATTGTATTATTAAATGTGCAAATGTTTTGTGGGTAGACATTCTTCTTCCAGGAGACATGTCTGCAAGTATTGGCAGGTGTCCACGAGTTAGTGTGCCTGCTCTAGACTTCTATTGAGCAAGTACCTGGGTTGATTTTCAGCCAGATTACGTACATCCTGGTTGATATTTTTATGGTTTTCTTCAGTATTATTTTATTTATTTATTTAGTGTTCTGTCTGACGACAGGTCCATATGAACAGGATCCTTCCATCCTTTTCTCGGACTGGGACCTGTTCATATACGTTCTTGGCAGATGATCCAGAAGTGGTTTGCCATTGCCTTCTTCTGTGTGTGAATGGAGTAATTGTTGGGAAGCCCCCGGAGGAAAACTCCGTGTTGCCTAGACCACGGCCTTGCCCCACACAAGTTATAAATTCGGGCACCGCCGGGAATCGAACCCGAGACCCCAGGATTACAAGGCCAGCGTTCTAACCGTCAGACAAATGCTAAAATGGCATCTACAGTAGTCACCTTCTTCGAAATTCTTTTGATCATCTTCCTATCTTATTTGACATGTAATCTTTGCATTTGAGACAGCATTATTAAATAACCTAAGAAACCATCAAACATTACTGACTTTAGTCCGTACGCTGCAACACACATATTTATGACGTATGCCAATGTCAGTGAAAGCTGTCTGTGTAAAATTAACATATATTTCTTGCAATGTTTATTATATTCATGTAAAGTTTGTATATGATTTTATTTATTTATTTATTTTTCAGGTTTCATTAATTGAGCAGAATTTAGCTGCGCAAGATAATATATTGAAAGCATTGACTGAGGCGTATGCACATTATGCAGACAAACGCAAGGCAGTTACTGAAATCCTCCGCAAACGAGAGGCAACATTATCTGCCCTTATATCTTCTTATGATGCCTATGAAGATCTTCTAGCCAAATCAAGTAAAGGCATAGAGTTCTACCGTAAGTTGGAAACAAATGTAAACAAGTTGCTTCAGCGGGTGAAAGGTACATGCAAAGTACAGGATGAAGAAAGAGAACAAATACTTGCGAAGAACAATAAAACAGTTCCCAGTACCCAGACAGTCTCAGAAACAGCTAGTGAATCTCTTGCGCCGTCTTCAGGGGGTCCAAAGCTGAAATACTATCTTCAGAATATGAAACGGGGAGGCGCCACTGGTGTGGGTGGGTATGTGTCAGGGTTACCAAGCGTCACGGCTGGCCAGACGTCGAGTTCGTATTATAATGCGTACAGTCAGGTCCCTGCACCGGTATCCTCACCACAACCATCAAAGTACCATGATTATTCGGGACCAAGCTCACAACTTGCAACTGAGAGTGCAAGCAACCAGCAGTGGGTGCCAGCAATACGCCCTGCCCCCGTTGGTTCAGAAGGCACCAGCGAACATTCTTCTTCCGTAAAACTGGAGCCAAATGAAAGTAAAGCTCCATTGCCGCAGCATGCGTACTCCTATCCAGCCCCAGTTATTTCTATAGATCAGTCTGCAGTGCTAAAGGCACCGGCAGGTTACTCGTCAACAGCGTATCCTGACTACAGCTCCACACAGTATAACTATGCTAATCCTCCTGCTACATGTCCAGCGATTCAGTCTGTTCCTCACGTACATCAGCAGCAAGAACAACTTGCATTTACACAAGGACATGTGAATACTCAAGGTTACAATTATGGCAGCACATCACATGTTCAACAGTATGGTCCCACTGGTCAAGGTCCAGTGTCTAATTACGCAGCTGGAAACATCGTAGTTGCAGGTTCTCCTGGTTCTTACCCCATGGATACTAAACCATACCCAACTCAGCAGACAAATCTGTACGCTACAGAAGTGTCTCATCAGTATCAAGCTGTGCAACCAACATACCAGCAGGTAGGAGGTGTTGTGTATCCATCTGGTACTAACACAGGGTGTGTAAATGTTGATCAGAAGCTACAGGACCCTGGGGTGTATTATGCGACTCCGTCATCACATCAAGGATACGGTGTTGGAACACTGACATCTGTGCATCAAGGCTATCCCACTGCATCAACATACCAAACACCTGTAACCTTGGCAGCCTGCAGTACTCCATCGCAAACTTACAGTGGGATTCCGCAACCAGTACTGCCATCTGCATCCAGCACCCAGTCTGGCTATGCATATGATATAACAAGTGGCACTTTACAGTATGAAAATATTTCTCAGAATGTACAGACTGGTTTTCATGGACAGGCTAATGCACAGACCCATCAGATAATGTGGCACCATCAACCACAAGAATCTACATATGGCACTGCAGTTACTGACGCTTCTGCTGCTTTAAATTCAGCACCGTATTATGGTTCAGAATTTGATCCAAGCACGTCTGCTATTTCTCTGCCTGGTGGATCATCTTCTGAAGTATCTCTAAGCAACCAGCAATATTACGGCAGCATACAACAGAAGTATCAACAGTTCCAGCATCCTTATTCATATCCTGGAGCATCCAATGGTTATAGTTTGCAACAGACCGCAGAAATTCAACCAAACATCAATGCTGATGCTTCATCCTCTGAATTCCAGTATATGGCGGCAACAGGGGCTTCTTGTTATACCAATGCTGGCAGTTACATTACGTCACAGACTTGCTCATCGCAGACCTCGGTAGATGGACATACATTTGCTACCCAATACAGTGAAAACCAAGGAATTTCAGACTGTGAGACCCCAGTGTATTCGCAAGCCTCATATTACTCATTGCCATATGGATATCAATATGATGCAGAAGCTGCAGCTGACGAACCAGAGAGTCCTATCCATGTACAGCAGAGCAGTTACGCCAGCAGCACAGTCATGAATCAGACGCCACAAAGTCCAATGACGTACATGCAAGCTCGTGGGCAAAATAACAGCACAACTACCACATATAGTCAACAAGGAGGAAGTTCTGTGTCTTCAAGTTCTGTTCAAGCCGTCAAATGCGATGAAAGTGAAAATATGTCATTGTCAAATGTAGACTTGTTAGCAGGGCTTGATTTTTCCCTAAATCAAGCGCCGTTAGTGCCTCAGCAACCCGTTCCAGAAAAAGATGAGGTTCACACTAAATCGGTGAACTCGAACACCGAACTGGTAACTTCTCCTCCCAGCAGTAAGAACGTTCCTACCGCAGCAGCTGTAACAAAAACAGATTTGTCTTCAGAAGTGTCAACTTTGGTACGTGATAGAACAGTGCCAACATTACCAAAGACTGATGGCCCGCAAGTTGAGGAATACAATAATCAGCAGATACTGGTGTCAAAACTGACACTGCCTAAAACTGACACAAGCCAAGAAGAAGTAAAATTAACACCAAAAGCGTTTGGTAAAGATCCATATACGGACCCTGATGCACTGAATCAGTTTGTTCAAGAAGTGGGGAAGTACGAAAAGTTTGTCGATGGACTGACAACAAAAACATTAAACGGACCAACACCACTTGACATGAAATGGAAGGAGTTGCTTGAATTGCAGGTATTTTTTTTTACTCGTTCTTTGGTTGTGTGGTGGGGGATCTTCTGTTTGATCTATCTGTCATGGATATCAGTCAAATTTGGGTTGGGGTGGGGTTGCGCTATCAGTTGTGTGGTGAATTTAATTTCAGTTTGTATTGATCCAAAATAACGCGCATCAATATGTGATACCACAAAATACGAGGAAAATTATCCCAATGGCTCAGTTTAGTGTGAATAAGTTTGCAGCAGTAGATTTGTATCTGCAGTAGTAATAGTTCTTTATCAGTTATAAGCAAATATTGAGACCTATGAGCTGCCTAGAGGCCCAGAGCTTATTGACAGACCCATCTGAGTAGGTGTTACCCCTGTTTTCATTTAAAACATCCAACTTCTGAAACGCTGTGTCTTTACAGATCCCAGATGATAGACAAAATCCAGAGATCTTGTAATAATATGAAAATAATTACATTCCTGTATTATCTTTACTCTTCCCGCGCTGTAGCCGCATGGTCTGAGGCATCATGCTTCGAACCGGTGAATACGGAATGCGCGCTGGTTCGAGTCTCGGGGAAAGAAATTTCTCGTGAGATTTTCGACCGGTGTATGGGACCGGTGCCAACCCAGCATCATGAATAAATTGGGGAGCTACAATGAGTAGCGTAATCCAGTCAGGAAAGCTAGCAATGGCTGGGGGTTCGTTGTGCTGACCACACGTCCCCCTATATCTGGTTGGATGATCGTTCACCTCTGCTTAGGCATGTGAACGTGAAGCCAGCTAGTCGGCTTTGGCTCTCACAGGGCTGTTACGCCATGGATTATTATTTTATTATTATCTTTACTTCCAGGAAATAGATGCTCATAAACGTAGCATTTCCGTAGCACGATGTTATCCAATGAAGAACCGATTTTCTGATATTTTGCCATATGATCATTCAAGAATTGAACTTCCTTCAACAAAGGATGATTACATCAATGCTTCATACATCAAGAATTTGACACCCCTGACGCCTCCATTTATCGTTACGCAGGCGCCATTGCCGTCAACTTACACCGACTTTTGGACAATGGTGTGGGAGCAACAAGTTGAAGTGATAGTCTGTCTTCTAAATGATTTGGAGGTAAAGGGAACATTCTGACGCATTTAGACTTGGTGAGGATTCTGATGCAGTGCAGGGTTTGGGATTTGTTAAGGTGGTTTGTGTGGCAATGTAATATTAACTCTTTAGTGTCCGAAGATTTCTGTCTTCTGGGTTGTTGCGCCGTGTAGTCTGGTCGATGTTAACCAACGTTTCAGACGTCATACTGCCTTCGTCATAAGGGCGATGAATAGCGTCCATCTGCTTCAATAGTCTTTAGCTCTTGATTTCTGTGTTTATGGATTTCCCCTGTAATCATGGATTATTTCTTTAAATGCCATCAACCATTTGATCTTTGTAATGGTGAAGTGTGGTGTTTTCTTTGCGGTACGGACTGAATTCTTAAATATCGTTTAAAAGAGCTTCCACTTCAACGGGTTAATAGAATCTGGTTTTGGCAACAACTTAAGAAGTATTCACTGATATGCAGTGCTGATGTTGAAGGTGCATTCAGAAATGTTTTTAAAATGGTACCTGGAACACAAAAGTAGTCTGATAAATTTCCATCTTGGTCTGTATCGTTTAGTTTGCTATAAAAGCCTGCCATTCCCCACAATCGAGTTTTTTTTTGATCCATTGATAAATGCTTCAGTATTTTACACATTAGGCCTTGCAGGACTGTAAAGAATAAATTCTGTTCCTAACTAACGCAGGTACCCATTTTTTTTTTTGGAGTTCGTTTAGTAACTGCAATATTTATTTGTATGACAAATTTTTGTAAAATTGATATTGATCAACTATAAGTCTTGTTGTCCCTCCATGAGCACAATGCAAAATTCTGATGACGTTGCATAGTCAGTGGAAGTTTTTTTTCAAGTTATTTTTAGGCTGTATACCATATATTGTATTCAATTTTTTTTTGTACATAACAAATGTTTTGTAGCGATAGCAAAGCTGCTTCTTATTTTGGTGGTTTCTTAGTTTTATGAATTACACTTCATGCGTAAGTTCTCAAAATCCTCTTGTATTCATGTCGTGGATCTGTGTTGTAGTTAATGTTTGTATTAATTTATAAAACTGTCGCACTAACATTATCTTCCTGTTTGGTTATTTCTTCATTATAGTTGGAGGGTCAGATATACTGGCCATTAGAGAAAGGTCAAGAATTGGCTATGGGAAAAATGAAACTCACTTTGCAGAGTTCAAATACTCGTTCTCATTGGATTGAGAGGATTGTGTCTGTGTGTGCAAATGAGTCGAGGACAACAAGAGTCATTGTTCACCTACAATTCACTGCATGGCCTGGCAGGTAAGGTGGTTTGACTAGTTACACTTGTAAGTACTTAATAAGTCTGGAAGTCAATATATAATAAAAGGGAATTTCAGTGGAAACCTCCCTGAAGTTGAATACCAAATACCAATTTGGTTGAGTCACGCAAGCATCCAGCTGACACACAAAACACTAATTTATCCTACCTGAGAAATTTCCGTATCTGCCGTTTTACTTTCATTGACTTCGTGAAATTAACGTGAAAGATGTGTGTTACGTATTATTTTTAAAACTGTTGTGTGTTGTGTGATGTAACCTTTATAGTGTGTGCATTGCATAAATCTGTCACTAAAGTACACGCAGACTTTATTCATCCATCACCAGGTGCTTATCATTTGTTTCCTTTCACTGTCATGGAGTCGTGCAGAGTGTAGCAGATGTGAGTAGTGTTGCCGTTCAGCACTGTGTTCACCTAGTGGCATAATTGTACGAGGGTGAGTCAAATGAAAACCGTAATTTTTTTTTTAAATTTAATTTATTGAGTGAAAGCGGTACACAACTATATCATTTTTCTACATAGTCTCCATTTCGTTCAATACAGGCCCTCCAGCGTTTACGAAGTGTATGGATTCCTCTAGAAAAAAATTCTTGTGGTTGTCTGCGCAACCACTCATGCACCGCCTGCTGTATCTCTTCGTCAGAACGGAACTTCTTTCCTCCCATCGCCTCTTTGAGTGGCCCAAACATGTGGTAATCACTTGGGGCTAGGTCTAGTGAGTATGGCGGATGTGGAAGACACTCAAAGTGCAAGTCTTGGATTGTTGC